TGAGAACCCCATGAGCAGTCAACTAAGACCGGCAGGGCAGAGATTAAGGAAGCCCTCAGTTAAAAGAGATCCTACAAATTCCAAGCCAGCATGGTCTGGGCTGTGAGACGGCAGCGCACTGGGTGGTGTCGGCACGCATCAGATTCAGACAGAGTGAGGTTGCCCAGCGCCAGCCAGCAAGTCCTCCTTGAGGAGGGGACCGTGTCTGGCCTGCTTCCTCAGGGATACCCAGCCCTCAGGGCACTATACGCACAGGATCAGGGCTTCATTCACTTCAGTCACTGCATGAACACCTAGACTCAGAGCCCAGAAACCTTGATCACTGGCTCTGTCATCTTGATCAAGTTACCTGATTTATCTGCACATCAATGTCCTCCTCTGTTAAATGACCATAGCAAGATCCATCTCATCTGAAGTTAAAAATGAACACATATTTAGCATAATTTCTGGCACTGGTGGCTCAGACGGTAAAGAATCTGCCTGCAATGCAAGAAACCCGGGTTCGATCCCAGGGTTGGGAAAATCCCCTGGAGAAGGGAATGGCTACCCACTCCAGTATCCTTGCCTGGAGAATCCCATGGACAAAGGAGCCTGGCGGGATAGTCTATGGAGTTGGACACAACTGAGCATACACATACACACACACACACACACACACACACAGTCTAGAAAAGAAGTCTTATAAACAAACAAAGACTCCGCCTCTTCCGTGTCTCCCCCAGCTACTGTGACATCACAGAAGACTGATCAAGTCCTCGCAGTGACACCCTGGATTGGGGGTGGGGGTGTAGTCCTGGGGTGTTCCAGCCATAGGAGGACACTACTTAAACAACCAGCTACTCACTCCCCAAGATGACCCAACAACGTCCAAAGCCGGGACCAAGCAGGACCCTGTTGGGCTCCCGAGCACGATCAGCCTCCTCGACTTTCCCTGGGTTCCAAAGGGCAGATGGAACAGCTGCTAGTCCAGGAAGGGAAGGGATGCAGAGACAGGGGAAGAGCAGCCAAGAAACAAAGCAGCCCTGAGGCTGGGTCCCGGCTCCACCTCAAGGGACACATAGTTTTGGAGGGTAGAAGCCTGTGGTGCCTCTCGCCAGGCAAAGCAACAAAGCTATTCTTTTCTACTTCACCCAAAACTCTGTCTCCGAGATTCAATCCGGTACGAGTGCACAGAGGCTGATTTCAGCAAAGTCAGCTCACAGTAAACAATCAGTGACAGGTTAACAGAACATATACTGAGCCTAAAATGAGGCTGCATGATAGATCCAAAAAGGCAAGCTTCCTAAAGTATCATATAAGATGCTCCAAAAGCAAACTGAGTTCTATCAAAATGATGGCTTCCCCTATTCCCAAATTAGGTACAAATTATAAGGCTCACTCTTCTCCCAAATGAATCATGAACAGGTCCCACCAGTAAAGAAAAGTATCTACACAGCACAGGTGCTCAATGTTTCAGTTAGTGCTGGGGCTAGTGACCCACGGTCCAGGGGCCAGCCACCTCCATCTGTTTATGTAAGTTAAGTCTCGCTGGAACACAGCTACAGCCACTCAGGCACACATTATCTGGGGCCGCTCATGCATTGAGAATGGCCCAGACTAGTCAAATATTCACAGGAAGACCACAGGGCCCACCAGCCTAATATATTTACCATGGGATCTTTAAGAAAGTTTGCTGGCCTGTATTCTAATGCAAGAAACACTGGCTAGGAAATCAGAGTCCTACATTTAAATCCCAGTTCCATGATCACAAAGAAATTATCTAGTTAATTCACAGTAATTCCCGTGACCTCATGTATAACATTAGGATACCACCATCTACTTTGCAGGAATGTTATGAAGATTACATGAGATATTAAATGCATATGGTACATAAGCAGCAATCAGTAGCTATTAAACCTTAATCAAAAACAGGTACAAACCTGTCTACCACATTAATACTCAAAGGTAAAGTGATCCAGGCTCCAGCGAACTATTTTTTAAAATAAGACACTGTGTTGGCATTCATCTACATCCTCTTACTGGGAAAAGGAATAACAATACCTAAGTGCTATCCTTTTGGAAGGTCAAAAGTACTTCTCTTTTCCCCTTATCTTTTTAGTCCTGAATTTAAAAACAAAAAAAACAAATGTCAAGAAGCCAAGGTTCAGAGAATTGTCTATTACAAAGTGAATCCTTTCAAATAAAACCTGAAGGGTACTTCAAGCTCTGACTGAGTAATTTCAATCCATGATTAAGGAAAAAAAACAGGTGGAGGTCCCTAAAAAACACACTTGCAGATCTCAGCAACGCAGCCAGGAATATGTGCCAGGGAGCCCCTGAACCCCCAAGCTCACGCAGGCGGCACGCTGTGCTGAGCGCCTGCGAGGCTTCAGACTCTGGGCCTCAGTGTGAACAGGACACACGGCGACCACACTTGAGAGGCCCGGCAGACCAGAGGGGCGCCCAGCACAGGGCAGGGTCAGAACCACATGGCGAGGCCCCGACGCCAAAGCCATCAGCACAAAGCCGGACAAGTCATCAGAACGTGAGGCCCCAAGCGGAGAGCGAGCCCGACGCCCGCCCTGCACAGGCAGGCAAGACGCCCTGCCCGTGACCACACGTGAGGCAGCGGCAAACCCTGTTTTCCCTTCCTTCCCGGGCTGTCTTTCCTGGAAATTGCTTCACCAAGGTTCTCAAGTCTTATCTTTCACTCCACTGTGACCCTACAATTCCTATTATGAAAAATCGGCCCAGTCTTCAAACCTCTGGGTTCCTCTAGACAGTGTTACTACTTTTCCTCTGTCTTCCCACCAATTCTGTGTATCTTTATTAGGGCTTCCTTGGTAGCTCAGCTGGTAAAAAATCCACCTGCAATGCGGGAGACCTAGGTTCGATCCTGGGCCAGGAAGATCCCCTGGAGAAGGAAACCGGCAAACTCCTCCAGCGTCCCTGCCTGGAAAATCCCATGAACAGAGGAGTCTGGCGGGCTGCAGTCCTTAGGGTCGCAAAGAGCTGGGCACGACTGAGTGACCAACACTTTCTTTCACTTTATGACTGCACACGCAACAATGACTAACTGTTCACTTATATATCCTTACCCGCCCCTCCCAGACTACGAGTTTAGTGAAGACAGGGACCATGTCTTGACACTGACTGAATGTCTGAAAGCTGATTATGCAGCTGCCATCTAACAACTGCATGCATGCATGCTAAGTCGCTTCAGTCGCGACCAACTCTGCGACCCCATGGAGAGCAGCCCACCAGGATCCTCTGCTCACGGGATTCTCCAGGCAACAATACCGGAGTGGGCTGCCACTTCCTTCTCCATAATGACTGTATATTCACTCTCGTTTAGTGTATATAATAACATTTCCACATTACGGATGAGGAAACTGAGGCCCAGGGAGGTTAGGAAAGCTCCTGCGGTTCCGCAAACCTGTGGGTTACTTATTTAACATCCATGTACCTCTGCCCCTTGCCTCGCCTCCTTCTTCCTAGCAGGAGTCTGGTACCCAATCCCTCCACACAGGTTTGACTCAGGGGAGGCTGAACCCCTTCATGAGACCAGGAGGTGAAGCGTGATGGCAGAAGGCCACTGTGGACACCTGTCCATTCCCAGTGATGCTGCAATGTAATGTAAAAACGTCTGCTGGGGAGCTTCACAGAAGGCTTCCTCCCAAGTGAAAGACACAATCAGTCACTCTTCTTCCCTAGCCACTGCTTTAACTATGTGGACTTCTTATGTTTTAAAGGCAATTACTCAATCTCCTTATGCAAACTTTAAGTCAACTAAGTCAGCCTCAGGTACTCTCAGCCAGAAGCATCCTAATTTGCACACAGCAAGGGTGACGTCACAGACCTCAAGGACGTCTCCAGTCTACCTCTGCAACACTCCCCCCACCCAGCACCGGCGCAGAGCGGGTAAGAGGTCCTTAGCAAGTTCAGCTAAATGAACAAACAGATGAATAAGGCAGAATTTAAGCTCAGCTTTCAAAGTCAGAGAAGGTAAACTTTACGGCCAGTTGTAAGTGAAATATTAGGGACTGAGGTAAACACCCTTAATAAATCTAAAGCCTGCTGACTGTTAGATAAGATTGATTCAATGTAACTGGAAAACAAAGTCTATATTAGAGCAAACAGCAAAGCACCCGTTAGGAGTCCGCATGTGTCAGAAGACTGGTACAATGAAAAAACTCACAGAAGGTTCTGTGTCTGCAAGCCCCTTTGTCTGTAAGGTCTACAGCACCTACTGGCAATCATGCAACAGCCCACTCTGTCCTCCATCCCGACCTAGACCCAAAGGGGCCAGCTTCCCAACACACTTAGGCTGGGGAGGGGAGGGGGCAGTGGCGCCTGCCCAGCACCTCAAACCCAGCCCACTATTCCTTCCGGAAAACTCAGCACCTGAAGGGCAGCAAGGCCCGCCTTCCCAGCTCATCTGCATCACAGGCCCCACCTGCCCCCTTCCACCCGCCAGGGGCAGCTGAGGAACTCTGACCTTTGGAACCGGAAGGGGAACCTCCAGGCCATTACCAACAGGCCTCAGGAGAGTCCTTGGCAAACCGTACTACTGCTGGCCAGGTGCCTGGGCCACCTTCAAAATAGGAACCTGAAGGTAAGAAGCCCTCATCCTACTGCCAATCCCCATCCCCAGCCCCAAGAAAACCAATGAGGTCACTTGTTATTCACAAAGAGCCACTCACTACAAGACATGATAGTCACTTTAACTTCAAGGCTGCAAAGACCTGCACCTTTTCCACATAAAAGCCTCCCTTTATCTGGTCACACGGCCTTCTCTCAGTACACTGAAGAGTAAGGGTGTTCTGATCTCCAACAAAATCAAAGAAAAGTCTACTTGCTCTAGGATGAAATGTCCAAAAGCCACAACGTGACTGAGTGTCTTAATGGAAACCAAGGGATCAATCATGCTGATGGCTCTCAAAGGACTCTTCAAAGGACCCATTTTGATCCCCCTAGGTAGCCCAGCCACCTAGAAGAGCATCCTCTTGCACACGGCTTACCTTATAATTGCTAGAGTTCACCCAAGAGGTAGCGAGTCCATCCACAAGTTTGTCTAACATGGTCTGGTCATGCTCGAGGTCGGCAGACTTCTGTTTGTCTGAGAAATAGTCTATCAGTTCTTGGCCAACCTGCAGCCGTTTCCCCACATCCTTCTGCAGCACCTGTGCCAGGCAGGCCTCCATGCGAGGCTCCATGGCGGAATTCCAACCCAGAGCCACCGAAGCTAGAGGGCGGAGGGGGTGACGCCCTCCCCGTGAGCGGCCCCCGGAGGCGGCCTCTTTGTTTGCTGAAGGTTACTAAGAGCCTGTGTGTCAAAGATGCAATCCGGGGAATGGCAGCAATGCACCATGTGTGGCTGAAGAACAGCTGGGAGGATATTAAAAGCCCAATTTAAATAACCAGTAGGGGAGAAAGGAGTGAGTGGCAGGGTGACGCTCTCCTCCCGGGTCTGAAATACTTCATACTTCAGCGGTCCATTCTGAAAAGCAAGAGAAGAGAAGGACACATCAGCACAGATAACAGAATGCTCAAATGCTGGGAAACATCTGATCAAAGACAAACAAGCATCCGCGCTGCAGCATCGTTTATAAGCACACGTGGAGTGAGAGGCATGAACACATGGCAACCATGTCAGAGTAACATAATTATTATTTTTATCAGGAAGAAGGTCGAAGCCCAAAGCAAAGAACCAGTGAGCGTCACAGTTGGTGGGTTGAGGTTTTCCACAATTTTTCAGCTTGTAAATGCACCAGTCAGGAGAGCAAGCTTTTGCTCAGCTGGGTGATTTATGTGCAGCTTAAATTCTGCTCCCCAGCAAAGAGCAAACACCACTGTGTCTGAGTGCCGGTGTGTGCTGTAGCCTGTCTCTCAGTTTCGTACAGTCCGAGTGCCGGAAGTGAGGCAGGGTCCACAGAAAACACCATTGACCAAACTGGCTGGCCCAGAACAGCAGTCAAAGTTGAAGGCGACACCTACACGTGCTCAGCAGCTTTACAGAGGGCGAGCAGGCAGGAGTCCCCGCCTCCTCCTCCAGAGAAGCGACCCACAGGGGGAAGGGGAGAGGCTCACAATCTGACCACGCTCTGGGACACAGCGTTCTCGTGGGCAGAAGCACCAACTGGGCCTGGAGTTTTGCTACAGAATCAGGAGACCTCAAAACCACTCCTGGCATAGCACAAAACACGTGATGTCAGGAGGCACCAAAATCATTTTTACTAGACATGAACGGGAGGACCATTTAATCTGCAGCTCCTGGAACAACTGTACATATTTATTTTTTCAACGTCTTTTCTCAATTCTTAACCCAAGAAGATGCACAGAAACCCTATCTTCAAGATGCAGCAACCCTGATTGTACTAAATAGAAACGTTCCTCACGCCAACAGTCAGTGTGAGCTCTCAGCGGTTCACAGGTAAACCTGACCTTATAAACTAAGTAAGATTTAACCTCAGGGCAGGGTAACTGTTCCAGTCGCAGCACAAGGTTTCTTTCCCTTCCTGGCACCCGCCCCACCTCCACCCCACCCCATCTCAGCAAAAGCAGCACAGCGCTCTTCCCAAGCCCTAGAATGAGAGATGAGTCAGGTCATCCAATGAGGAGAACACTCCTGCACAGTCTCTAACCCCGGATTACCCAGTTTCTGCTTTCCTTCCAATCAGAAAGCCTGGACATCTCACGTGGCAGTCCTTCCTGAAGTGGAGGACACAGCGCTTTCCAGTCATGTCCGTGCCATGGAACGTGTCCTTCCTTCACAGGAAAGTCTTCAGATATAGCAAAGCAGCCATTACCCTTCACTCCAATTTTCAGTCCAAACAAAATACCTCCACTTCCTTAATCAGCTCCCCTGTCAGACTAACGAAGGTATCAGCGATACATGAAAACTGGAGAAACCAACGGAACCTTTAGGTTCTGGGCCCAATATTCGCCACGCAGCTAGCTAAGGTCAAGCGTGCGGTAGCTGCAGAGGCTTCGCTGCCCCTCCTCCCCCGTGCCCCTGGGATGAGTCCTGAGACTCGCTCTGGCCGGTGGGAAATCAGAGGCGGCAGAAACGAGCTGAGATGTGACCCTGGAGCGTGCGCGACTGCCACGCTGTGAGGAAGCTGGTCTAGCCTCCTGAACAGGAGAAGCCGGTAGAGGAGAACCAACTCGCTCCAAACAGCAGCCGGCAGCAACCACCAGACATGGTAGGGAGTCCTCGGGGACCACTCAGCCTCACCAGCCACCATCTGACTGCAGACACACAGACTCGTCTAAGGAGACAGAAACCACCTGGCCAAACCACAGGACGGTGAGGCACTGTTCACTCATACTTCAAGCCATGCAATTTGTGGGACTCTGTTACACACCAGCAGATGATTCTTCCCCTAAACATCTTTCATGCTCAGTGAAAAGAATTTCATATCCCTTACTCCTCAAAGGGCCCAAAATCAACAGACACTAACCAGTAATGATGGTGCCAATATCAGTTTTGAGCATCAACATGAGGGATCAGGCTCTATGCCAAGATGACTTATACAGTTTATCTCTGATTCTCCAACCACTTTTTTTTTTTTTAGATTTTATTTATTTTTTTATTTTTTTCATTTATTTTTATTAGTTGGAGGCTAATTACTTTACAATATTGTAGTGGGTTTTGTAGGTGTGTATGCCCAGAAGGGGATTGCTGGGTCATATGGCAGTTCTATTTCCAGTTTTTTAAGAAATCTCCAAACTGTTCTCCATAGCGGCTGTACTAGTTTGCATTCCCACCAACAGTGTAAGAGGGTTCCTTTTCTCCACACCCTCTCCAGCATTTATTGCTTACAGACTTTTGGATAGCAGCCATCCTGACTGGCGTGTAATGGTACCTCATTGTGGTTTTGATTGGCATTTCTCTGATGATGAGTGATGTTGAGCATCTTTTCATGTGTTTGTTAGCCCTCCAACCACTTTTATAAAGTAGGCATTAACACAACCCTATTTTACAGGTGGGGAAACTGAGGCAAAGGTAAGTGATTTTCCAAGGTTGCATGGCCGTAAGTTTCCCTTTCCCACCTTCAAATCCTTGTTACTACAAGTCTGGCCTAGTTCTGTCCCAACTCAGGGAAAGAAGGTCAGACTTCATAGTGAGCTGGGAAGCAACAGGCCAGATAGCAAAGTCTCCACTCCCAGGAGAGGAAGGAACCCATGCATTTAAGGCTCTTTCCTGTTATTTTTTAAAATACATATTAGATAAAAACCTCCCCTTCAGCTGGAATTCCAAATGGTTTCTAACAAGTAAGTATATGCTTCTTGACAGTAATTATGCAGTAAAGGTTTAGCACACTCAGAAGCAGGTCACAAACTCCTGTGTATGAAACCCGCAGAATGGCACTGGGAGCCCCAAAGCATTCAGCAAACTGGGTCCTCTTCATTCTTTTTAATTTAAAAAAAAAAAAAAGCAATAGGTTATCCTCTCTTGCACAAAAGTGTAAGACCTCTCCCCTACTCCTATCCTCCGGCCACATTTCCCAACTTAAAAGCAAAAGGTGTTGCTAACTTCCCATGCCTTCCTTCACAGGCATTTTTAGCTACCCAACAAATAAGTACATGTGTTCTCCCTCTGCAACCCCAGGAAGAGTTTCTTAAGTATTTACAGTTACATCATAAGAAGCAGCCCAATTCTGCTACAGGCCAACAGGAAGAACTTAAAAAATACCAGCTTCAACAAGAATGAAACACGCATCAGGAGAGCCTGACGTCAGGGACACTGTTAGACAGCCCCCAGTCTCGACTCTGCACCTCCAGGGGGGCAGTGGGGAGATCACAGGCGTCACGTTCATTAAATAACATTCAGGATCAGAAAAGTTTGCACAGGGCATTTTTTAAAAAAAAATATAGCTCTCTCTCGATCCTCCTTCTTATAGTACTACTCAGGTCACCACCACAAAGGAGTGAAGACAACGGAGGGCGGGACAGGGAACAACATCAGCTGTGAGCTCCGAACTTCCACATCTACAACAGGCTTCTCCACGAGAGAAGTTAAAAAGGTAGGGCCGTTTCCACTAGTGGCTTAGAGCAGTAACAAGTTAGTATTTCTTATACGTCTATGATGGGCTGGGCTCAGCAGGAGGTTCTTCTGCTAACCTTGCCTGGGATCACTCAGGTATCTGCTGCTGTCTGCCACTCTGACTGAGGTTAAGAGTCTACAGTGGCATCACCTTCATGTCTCAGGCAATGATGGGGGCTGTTGGCTGGACCTCTCGTCACACATGATCTCTAACAGCTCAGTAATACAGTCTGTAGTTCAGTACATGTGGTTGGAGCATTCCAGGATGGCAAAGAGAAGACTGCCAGGCCTCACAAGGCCCAGGAGGCAGAACACGCAAATCACTTCTGCCACAAGCAAGTCACAAGGCCAGCCCAAAATAAAGGTGTGAGGAAATGGATTCCACCAGCTAAACAGGCCTCAGAATAGTGCAGCAGTGTGCTTCAATCTATGTGTGCACACTCAGTGGACATTCGTACAGTGAATACCTGAGTGAGGTAAATAGGCTTATCTTCTTTGTTTACCCATCATCGTGATTGCTTTTATTTACTCAACAGTTTATGATACATCACATTTGACCACAGTAGAAACATCTACTGCTGCTAAGTCGCTTCAGTCGTGTCCGACTCTGTGCGACCCCACAGACAACCGCCCACCAGGATCTACTTCTGCTTTACTGACCATGCCAAAGCCTTTGACCGTGTGGATCACAACAAACTGTAGAAAATTCGTCAAGAGACAGGAATACCAGACCACCTGACCTGCCTCCTGAGACCTGTATGCAGGTCAGGAAGCAACAGTTAGAACTGGACATGGAACAACAGACTGGTTCCAAATAGGAAAAGGAGTACATCAAGGCTGTATATTGTAACTGATGCTTTTGAACTGTGGTGTTGGAGAAGACTCTTGAGAGTCCCTTGGACTGCAAGGAGATCCAACCAGTCCATCTTAAGGGAAATCAGTCCTGAGTATTCACTGAAAGGACTGATGCTGAAGATGAAACTCTTAACTTCAGCCAGCTGATGCAAAGAGCTGACTCATTTGAAAAGAGCCTGATGCTGGGAAACACTGAAGGCGGGAGGAGAAGGGGATGACAGAGGATGAGATGGTTGGAAGGCATCACTGACTCAATGGACATTAGTTTGAGTAAACTCTGGGAGTTGGTGATGGACATGGAGGCCTGGCATGCTACAGTCCACAAGGTCACAAAGAGTTAGACACGACTGAGTGACTGAACTGAACTGAACCACACAAGATACAAAAGAAATAACTATAATCTATGACTTGACTTGAAAATGCTTCCAACTTACTTGGAGAGAACAAGATATATACACTCACAAGAAGCTTGTCAGTGTAAGAATTCAACACACACAGGAACCATAGCAGACTCCACAGACAGAATGCCATACTGCCACATAAGGGATATGAGTAAGTACTAAAATCACTTTGGGAAGGGACAGATCAAGAAGGCC